CTTTGACCCGCCGCCGGCCGCCCGGATCCTGCCCGGCGAGGAGGGCCGGGACGGCAAGATGCTCGACCTGCTCTGTATTTACGAGACGTTTCTGATGGACTGCAACCGACTGTGCGTCGCGCTGGCGGCGAGCGAGGACGGCGTGCTGGAGCAGGACTCGCTCCGCTTGGCCGCGGCCATGACGGCAGGGTGGCGCGTGGGAGCAGGAGCCGGCGAGAAGGGTGCGGTGCGCGCCCTCGCGCATGGCGTATACGGCAATTCGATCCAGGCGCCCATCATCGCCCAGTGCTTGGGCGTGGCGGCCATAGTCCTGGATACGGCGGATGAGTGGGCGGCCGCCATCAGGCAGCGCGCGGAGGGCGAGGCGAGGGATGGGATGCTAGATCCGCGTATATTCCTGCACTGGTTGGGGCGGTTAGGATTCGGGGTCAAGCAAAAGCAACCTATACCGTTGTGACCAAAGGGCCAAAGCCGGGGCGAACGTCGGTGTTTTCCTTCTGAGTGGAATTGGTCACCGCAACTAAGCAAGCGACTTATGGGCTAAAAGTCTCAGAATTTGTCGATGCCGTCGGTCTGCTTTCTCGGTACATGTTTCGCGAAATATTCGTAGAGGCCAAGCTCTTAAAGCGGCGCTGCATCTCCAGTCTCGGTGGGCCAGCCCAAGATTGCTTTCACCGTGGACATGTGCATCGTCAGCCGCACTGGAGCACAATAGCACAGCCTCGCTTTCAGCCCTTTGCCCGATGACGGCCAGGCGCCATCATTAGCTCAGCCCTTTCTTTCCCTGCAAGAGTCACCCTCCGTCGGGAGACGATGCTCGGATCCTTCGGCAACGCGAGTCCAAGGCACATTGCTCGCATTCAGTCCTGCAATCGCTCGAGTTTTCTTGCGCGCTGCGTGGCTGGACTGGCGATTGGCAAAACTCGACTGAAAGCCCGAATACTGCGGCAAGAGACCAAGGCTTCCCCGAAACCCGCAGACACTGCCTCATAAGTGCTTTCGCCCAGCATCAGAAGCAAAATGCAGATGCAAATTGCAAAACCAAATTGCGCGATGCTAGGACCGTTTGACCGTCGATGGAAGCGATCCCGCTGCCAGCGGTGTGCAAGGAGCCATCTAAAGGTACGACAAAAACCGATGAGACATCCGATACCTATTGATGAGCTTCCTATTCGGGCTGCGTTGCCGCGACGCCACGCCACCACGTGTGAGGAACCTCGTCGCTAACATGTAGCTGCAGTGCTCCGGCGCGACCCCCTGCACCAACTGTAATAGTAAGGGTACACTGTGCATATACGCCGCCGCCACTACCACTGATGCGCCAATCATTATTCTCACTCCCAGCAGCCGGCCTGGCCACACGGCTACGTCGTCGGTGGTCCGGCGGAAGGCGGCAGCTCCCCGGCCCGGCCCCGCCCTGGACGATGCGCGGTACTTTTACTACTTTGACGTGTTTGCGCAGCGCAACAGCTTCACGGGCAAGAACCACTCCTTTACAATGGATGTGCGCCAAATGGCAGAACTGCAGACAGTGCCGTATTTTCTCAACTCGATACGTGCGCTCGGGGCTATTCAGGCGTCCAGGCTGACACCACCCAAGAGCCGTCATGCGGGTGACGCTTACACGAGCTACACGCTCTACTCGAAAGCCGTTGTGGGATTAAGAAAGAGCCTCGATGAACGAGAGGGAAAAATGGCCGATTCTAGTCGAACGGCGTTGTTATGGACGACTCTCTTCCTCGGCATGTTCGAAGTAGGTGGCAGCAACGACCCGTCTCGACCATCTACTGACTCGGGAGTAGCTCATGTCGGATACGAGCGGAATGGGATGGCTGCAGCACATGGTGCACGGCACCGCCAAGGGCCTAGCGGCTTCAGGGCCGTCCATATGCGCGACGCCGGCCGGGGCGCGCATGTTCCTGCAGGCCAAAATGTTTGAGGTGTGCAGGACGATTGTGTTCAACGACCAGTCGTTCCTGACGCGGCCCGAGTGGCGCAAGGCTTCAGAGCAGCTGTGGACCAACGGTAGCTTCTCGGCCGAGTGGCGGCCGCTGGACGCGCTGGTGGACTTGATGCTCCTGTGTCCTGATCTACGATACAGGTAAGACTTGACCTTTTTTGACGAGAAACCGTTGCTGACCTATGATGTTGATAGAGCAAACCGATTCTGCCAAGGCGAGGATGACAACCCTAGCATAGGAGTGCCGGACGAAGCACGTGACATTGCCAGCGCAGGCATGGCGCTGCGGGAAGCGCTGACGGCATGGCACGACGCCCATCTGGCGCGGGACGAGGAAGGCACCGCTGCCGCGACGGGCGAGGACGAGTGCGGCCTGTTGACCAGGCTCTTCTGGTCGGCCATTAGCATCTACCTCTCGGGCGAGTTCGACTACGAGATGCACCATTGGCGGCGCTTCGGGCTGGCAGTGCCGACGCTCGACGCGGAGACGGTTCGGCGCCATGTCGAGACCATCCTGGCGCTTGGCGAGCGCGCGCTCGAGAGAAGTAGCCTGTCGCCGCTGCTGCTGCTGTTTCCGCTGCGCATTGCGGGCGCGCGCTCGGCGTGGGCTCCCCCGGCACAGCGCGCGCGCGTGCTGCGTGTCCTGGACTCCATCGCAGACCGGTTCGCCGTCGGCCAGGCAATACGTGATGGATTGACAGATGCTTGGGTCTGCTTGGGTGTGGTGGACATCTGAGAGCCGTCCAGAGCCAAAGTTGTAGACAGAATGAAGACCAAAAAACTTGCGGTGGCTTGTGGTAGGTAGACTGTCTTTATCGAGTGGCATTAACGTGCCCGTGTGGTGTATCTGTGAACTATTTAGTTGGTCGGTAACTGCCTACCAGGTATAAATGAATGAATCAAAAGAGGAGAGAGTTGCGCTGGCATACATGTAGGGGGCGTGACTGTGACGGGGTGGTGAGTGACTGTGGCCAGAGGCGGGGTTACTCAGCTTGGGCTGGCCTCTGCTTCTTGCGAGCAAAGCAACACTGCATCTCCTTCTTGCAGTCATCAAAGTCTCCTACCTACAGCTACATAATCTCCGATTCACATCATGGTTGCTCCCCAGCATCTCCATAGTCGAGCGACCACGCCTTGTCGCTTTTTCCAGGCCGGATCCTGTATCAGAGGCGCCACATGCCACTTTTCACATGATGCCGCCGGGCTGAAGCCAGTCTCTGCTACGGTGCTAGAGGTAAACTCCTTTTGTTACCAAATATAGGTAGATAACTGACAATAGTCCTTGGGACAGCTCCCGATTCGGACTGCAGACACGACGCCGGCCGAACGAGCGGATGAAAGACCGGGCTGCAGGTATCATCAGTTGGGGAGTTGCTTATACGGAGCGACCTGCTCCTTCTCGCATGGTGATTTGCCCCCAGTCTCTCCTACGGTGCTAGAGGTAAACCCCTTTTGTTGCCCACTATAGGTAGATGACTGAC